AAGTAAAACTCTAATGAAAGAAATGACAAGTGAAATAGAAATAGCACCAAATATATGGGCAGATCATAACCCCCTAATGGTAACATGGAAAGACCAATCAAAACAAAGAGGGAGATGGATGTTGAACCCACAAATTCTGAAAGATAAAGAATATTTAGCAAAAGTTAAAAAAGAATTAGAAATGTTTTTGAAGTAAATACAAAAGAACACACCTCTTTACAGAATTTGTGGGACACAACGAAAGCCTATTTAAGAGGAGTAACAATTGCATACAATGCCAGAAAGAAAAAAGAAAAAGAAAAAAAAAGTAATGAGTAACAGAATGATATTAGAAAATTGGAAAGACAAGCGCAATTAAGAATGAGCAAATTATAAGTAAATATAGTTTAGCTAAACATAAACTGAACATATTAGAACAAGAAAGAAACCTAAGAGCATTGAAATTAGTAAAGCAAAACTACTTTGAAAATGCCAATAAGCCAGGAAGGTGGCTGGCATATAAGTTAAGGAAGGAAAAAGAAAAGAGATGGATTCAACAATTACAAGATAAGGAGGGAAAGATACAAAATAATATGGAAAAGAAAAAAGAAATAGTACTGGAATATTTTAGTACACTCTATAAACAAGAAGATATGAGTAAAAAGAAAATCAAACAATATATAGAAGAAGAAATATTCCAATACTAATAGAAGAAGAAAGGGAAAGATTAAATGAAGAGATTACTAAGGAGAAACTAAAAGAGGCAATTAGTAAACAAAAAAAACAAAACAAAAAACCGGAATAGATGGATTACCTGCAGAATTATATAAAAATTTAGGTGAAATACTAGATCCAATCTTTTTAGAAATTTATAATGAAGTACTTACAGAGGCAAAGCTACCAATGTCGTGGAGAGAAGCATATATCACATTAATACTGAAGGAGAGTACAGATACCACCCACATAAAAAATTACAGACCAATTTCTTTACTGAACACCGATTACAAAATATTTATGAATATAATGGCTGAGAGATTGAAAAAATATTAAGTAAATATATACACACAGATCAAAATGAGTTTCTCCCAACAAGACAACCAAAAAATAACACAAGGACAGTACTAGATATCCTGGAGCTGTAATTTAAATTAAATGTCTCCTGGACGGAAACTTGCTTAGGATCCCCTGGTCCCTCTCTGGCTGAAAACTCTCAAGTTCTGAAGGAGAATACAGGTAGTCCTTGACTTACAACAGTTTGTTTGGTGATGGTTCAAAGTTACAACAGCACTGAGAGAAGCGACTGATGATTATTGTAGCATCTCTGTGATCATGTGATCACAATTTCGATGCTTGGCAACTGGTTCACACTTAGGGCCACTGCTGTGCCTCAGGATTAAGTGATCCCCTTTTGCAACCTTGTCACAAGCAACGTCAACATGGAAGCCAGATTCACTTAACAACCAACTGCAGGCATTCACTCAACAACCCTGGCAAGAAAAGTCATGACATGAGGCACAAATCACTTAACAAATGTCTCATTTAACAGCAAAAATTTAGGGCTCAATTGGGGTCATAAGTTGAGGACTACCTCCAGGGGAGCCCACCAGAAAGGATAGCAACAAAGACATTATATCCATTGGTGAATCCCAGAGCCCAGCACGATCTAGTCCAACAGGACCGACTCTGCTCATCAACCTGGAGGACAAGCAGCTGGTTCCAGACTGCAGGAGTTCTGTTCTCAGGTTCACACGGATCAGCCAAGACAGGAGTCATGCTTTTATTTACTAACTTAATTTATAAGTCAAATGGCAGTTAATTGGCAGCAAATTCAGTGGGACACATAAAACAGATGAATATGTTCAGCTGGAGAGAACCGATGGCCTTGTTAACCTCAAGCAGAAATCGGCTAGGTAGAAGATAAATGGATGCTCACCCAGGTTTCGCTTCTTTTTGTGCCCGGAAACCAGAGAAAGTATTAGCAGGACTGTTATTACTAGACTTGGGATCTTTGTCTACCAATTGAATCCTTCCCAAGGATCTGAGATAGGCAGATGTTGGTGTTTAATAATACTGAAGGTATTGTCAAAATTAATGCAATTATCTTATTACTACTTAACCAACCTCATTTATATCTATCTATCCATCCATCTATATCTCTCCACCATTCTCATATCTGTCTATCCATATCTCCCTTTCTCTCTCTCTCCCTGCCCCCTCCTCTCTAAGCCAGCAGGGAACCAAACTGGATTTCTGCTAAAGAGTCTAAGTTCTGATCACCCGTGAGAAACTGTCCCCGTTTCATCATTCTTCACATTTCCATTCCAAAATAAGATGACTCAAGCGAGGATGAATAATGGAGTAAAAAGATATTTTTTAAAAAACTGGAAAAAGATATCCTGCACGTCTACTATTATGGGGAACAGATTCTCCAAAGAATGTCCTACTGAGATTTTATGAATCATTTTAGACAACCAATGCTCTGACTCAGTGCAAATTCACCACAAATATGGGCGGCAAACTTTCTCCCCAGCAGTCGAAGTAGGACTGAGGACACGAAAGAAAAGTACAGGTAGTCATTGAGTTCCAGCCACAATTGAGCCCACAGTTTATGTTGCGAAGTGAAACATTTGTTAAGTGAAATTAGTCCCATTTTACGACCGTTATGCCACAGTTGTTAAGTGAATCACTGCAATTGTTATATTAGTAACACAGTATTGCGGCCTGTCAGTGCACGGCCCCTCTGGCAGTCGAATCAGAGGAGGAGGAGGCGGAGGCGGGGAGAGTCAGGGTCAGCCTCAGGGCAACCTGGGAGCTCCAAGGAGGAAGAGGGAGCTGGCAGAGAGAGAGGGAGAAAGGCTGAGCCTGGGCCATCCATCAGCCCTCAGATGGAGAGTCAACAGCCCCCAGGTCTGGAGGTGGCTGATGAGGAAGAGGAGGAACAGCCAGGTCCAGTGCCTGACGCGCGGCTCTGCAGAAGGCAGAGGAGAGGAGGGCAGTGGAAATCTATGGGACGGTCCTTGGGATGGAAGAGCCACCGCTGCTAGCAAGGCCCCACCCTAGCTCTGGGGATAAAAGGCAGGGGGAGGAGATGAATAGATGTGGCAGGCAACTATGCATCTTCCAGCCAGATGGACTTGGTAGCCTGCGAGATAAACGTTTTGCCGGGGCTGCCGGCATTCCTAATAAAGGGATCTTTTGAGTTCACATCAGAGGGTTTGTCGTGTTTGGGGAACTGGGTCAGAACAAAGAGTGAATCTGACTTCCTCACGGACTTTGCTTATCAGAAGGTCACAAAAGCTGATCACATGATCCCGGGACACGGCAACCGCCATAAATATGAACCAGTTGCCAAGCATCGGAATTTTGATCACATGACTACGGGGATGCTGCAACGGTTGTAAGTGTGAATAACAGTCTTCAGTCCCTTTTTTCAATGCCACGTTAACTCTGAATGGCCACTAAATGAACTGTTGTAAGTCAAGGACTACCTGCACCAGGCGAATTAGAACAGAACCACACAAAAATTAACTCCAAAATCCCCTGAACAACCGAAGGGGACCAAGTTCATTCAATGAAGACTTGTCTCTTTGAGCAACCCCAGAACATGCAACGTCCAATGAAAAAGGAGAAGGCAGGGAGGGGGCTGCTCTGCCTCAGCCCCCATGTTAGAGGAGAACCTATTTGACTGACAAAAATAACGATCCACTGCAGGTAGCCCTCAACTTATGAACACAATTGAGACCAGAATTTCCACCGCAAACCAAGGAAATTGTTACAAAAGCCATACAAAATTATACGACCTTTTTTGCCATGGTTGTTAAGTGAATCATGCAGTTGTTAAGCAAATCTGGTTTCCTTCTCTGACTGCTTGTCAGAAGGCCCAGGGTAAAAGTTGCAAATGGCAATCACGCGATCACCCTGCAACCATTATAAATACATGGAGTCCTTGACTTAAAACAGTTTCCTTCGTTACCGTTCAAAATTACAATGCACCAAAAGAGACCATTTTTCACACTTATGACCGTTTCATCCCCATGATCACATGCTTTACATGCTGACTCACATTTATGGTGTTGCAATGTCCCTGGGGTCACATGATCCCCTTTTGCAACCTTCTGACAAGGAAACTCAATGGGGAAACCGGATTCATTTAACAACTGTGTGACTAATTTAATAACTGCAGTGATTCACTTAACAAATGTGGCATTAAAAGTCGTAAAATGGGGCAAAACTCATTAACAAATTTATCAGTTAGTAATAAAAACTGTGGATTCTGTTTTGGTCATAAGTCAAGGACTATCTGTACATACCAGTTGCCAAGTGCCTGAATTCTGATCTCATGGCCACAGGGATGCTGCAACGTGATAAGCAGGAGGACTCACTGTAAGTCACTTTTTTCAATGTTGTTGTAACAATGATTGTAGGTTGAAACTACCTGTACAAGATTTGCAAATTATTTTACAGGCCCTATTTATTGCTTTGAAAGAGCAGTGTGGTGGCTTAGTGGTGACACTCGCCTCTCATTCTGAAAGTTGAGAGTTCAATCCTAGGTAGTGGCAGATGTTTCTCTCCTAGGGTAGAAAAAAAATAATGTCTGCTGTGAACTCCATGTGACATCAGGAAGGGCATCCGGCCAGTAAACGTTCAGCTCCAGCAGTCGCCCCAAGTCTACCCCAGGATTACAGGGTCATAAAAGTGAGGGTTTTTTATTTATTGCTTTGAAGAAAAAAAACAGCACAGAATCCTCCAATCATTCTGAGATGCAGCTTCAGAAAGGATCATCAGCATTCTTCCAAGATGGCCACCATGAAGCCTGTATGAGCAGATCTGCCACCAAAATCCAACTCCATCTTCTAAAGTTTGCCCCACTTCCTTAACATGCATTCACACATGAAATCCAAAGTCAGGTTTTTGCACATCAGGCACAAATCTTAGGAAACTCCACACCACACAACCTTCTACTCACCGCTTCCTCTTAAGGTAACAGCTGACTTAGGAGGATTCATTAAAATGGGACTTACCAGCAGAGCTGATCAAAAACTTCTGTTTCCATTCCAACTGGTCCAATCCCATTGGGGTGCTCTTGGAGAGTGGGAGGGAGTGACATCGGTCCAAAAAAAGTTTGAATGGAGGAGGAGATGCTGGAGATGGGCAGAGAGGGTGAGATCGTGGCTGTGGGAGGGAGAGACGGAAATTGATGTAAAGACAAAATGACTGCAAAGTTGTTGTTTTTTAATAAAATACAGTATAAAGAAAACACCCCAAATGTCAAAATATCTTCATTTCACTCATGCTCAAGAAGAGCAAGCACAGTGCTGAAATGCAATGTGTGACATTTTCATCAACTGAGGTGGAATTTGCTCACATTCAAAGATATCATGATCTTTTATACAGTTAAAGTGCCCCTTCCTTCCTTCCTTCCTTCCTTCCTTCCCTTCTTCTATTTTACATTATTAGGTTTTTAACAGATTAACAGAGTTGGAAGGGACCTTGTACTGTAGGTCATTTAGTCCAATCCCCACCCAAGCAGGAAACCCTACACCATCTCTGACAAATGGCAGTCCAGTCTCTTCTTGAAAGCCTCCAGTGATGAAGCTACCACAACTTCTGAAGGCAAGCTATTCCATTAGTTGATTGTTCTCACTGTCAGAAAATTTCTGCTTATTTATAGATTGAATCTCTCCTTGATCAGTTTACATCCATTATTCCTTGTCTGGCCTTCAGGTACCTTGAAAAATAGCTTGACCCCTTCCTCTTTTTGGTAGCCCTTCAAATTTTGGAAGACTGCTATCATGTCTCCCCTGGTTGTTCTCTTCACTAGACTAGCCATGTCCAGTTCCTGCAACCATTCATCATTTGAGCCTCCAGTCCCCTAACCATCCTGGTGGTTCTTCTCTGGACTTTTTCTAGAGTCTCAACATCTTTTTATAGTGTGGTGACCAAAACTGGATGCAGTACTCTAGGTGTGGTCTTACTAAGGCTTTATAGAGTGGTATTAGTTCCCCCCTTGATCTTGATTGCAATGCAACTTAGGATTGCATTGGCTTTTTTGGCTGCCATCGCACACTGTTGTTCCAGTCTTTACGTCAATAGTCCTTTCAGACACTGCAGGAGGAGAGTCTTCGGCAGCCTCAAATCAGAAGGTGTCCAATATCAGCTTTTTAGACCAATGCATTTTTTAAAGGATATGATTTTGTTAGCAAACTTCAGCAAACACATCAAACCCTACCCCAATTTGGCCCATCTATGCAACTGATGTAGTGAACTATAGCTCTCAAAAACTAATGCCTTTTAATAAAAAGTCCAAAAATTGTTGCCAGACCCCTCTTAATTTTTGACAATCTTTTCAGGTAACCTTAACATGATGGCACAAGAAATGAAACATATATAGAAAATTTCCTTGAATCACTGGGTCTTGCAAAAAGGCAGGTACTTCAGGATAGTTCACCATTCTCAGGTCAGAATTTCATGGGATTTGAGTGAGAGCACTTAGATCTTTATAGCTTTTAACCTTCTCTCTTTTCCTCCAATTACTGAATTTGGGGATTTTATAGATGCAACATTGCTGAGTCCTTCTTCAAGGAAACCAATGCACATGGAGGTGGTTCTGCTTTGTTAAGTCTTCTCTCTCCACAATTTCCAAGACATGTCTTTAAAACTTCTCGGTTTCTCAAAAACACAACAGGAAATACTGCAAGCTTGGTGATTTTCTTGCTGATGTTTCATTACACAACTAGGTAACACCGTAGGTGCTATTGTGCTAATAATCAGTGCTAGCAAAGCCTCACATCTCCAGGACCAAAAAGGAAAAGGCAACACAATTTGTACGAAACTTCATTGAGGAGCTGTTTCACTAATCCCTCATTTTGTTTTAAATGTCTTTATTTTCTAATTCTGCTGAACTATTGAGACCAGGCAATAGAAGAGAACTTTTAGAACGAGATTTCACTGATGGCTTCAGTTGCAACTATATCCTCTTAGGATACCACCTCCAGAGTCGGATGCTTTGCACTCTGCATGCAAGCTTTCTTCTGCCTCGCTCATCAACCTCTTGCCTCTAGGCACCAAAAGTCACAAGGCAACTGGACAGTTGCTCCCCTTCAACAACATTTCCCCAAAAGGAAAAGTGTCACATTTATCTGCAACTGATGGGCAACAGCAGCAGAAGCAACGTGATCAGAAGACTAAGGAGTAACCTTAGGTTATCTCCATCTTCAAGGTCTTGGCACTAGTGGGTTGATCTTCACTTGGATTACAAAACACAGCTCAAATCACTCACTTTGAGAAACACTTAACACTGAATAAGTGGAGAGCAATATTTTATTTCATTTTCCATCTCCTTTGCTGTATTGAGATCATGACACAATCCTTACCCTCAAGCAGATGCAGCATTTTTTGATGGGTGAGGAACAGCATACAGAATGTAAAAGAAATGCTACCGTATTGCCTGCGGCAACAGAACTGGAAATTCTTTATTTAGCCATTTCTTTCATGGGAGATTTTCATTTTTACAGGAAAAGTGAGGTTGCTCTGATCATATGTAGGAAATCGTAAATCCAAGGGGCTGAGCTTGAGGTTCACCTGTTCCTTAATTCAGAAGAGACTGGGGTTAGGATGCAAGAACTCAACATGGAAACCACAAGCCCATGGTCAAAGTCTGACCCTTTTGCATATTTCTGCCATTTCAAAAAAGGAAACACTCAAAACTTATCATTTCATCCTAAAAAGAACTTTTTTTCCAGAGAATGATAAAGGTCCCACAACAAAATGAACTCACTAGAGGAAATAAAGAGATAGCAGCAATCAAGCTTTACGAAGAAACTCAATTAAGAGATTTGTCCCTCCACACTTCTTCCAAACACAGGGAAAATCAATCAATCAATCAGCTGCTTTCAATTAATGTCAAGAAAGACACAGTTTACTGTTAGATTAGAAAGGAAGCAACTCACAATGGAAGAAAAAAAGACAGCAAACATCTTATTTTTGAGTTTAGTGCAAAAAAATACACAATGATGGTCAGGTAGAAATTCATAAACAGTGACACAACAACTGTGGTGGTCTATGGACCACAACTGGATGGAACCAATGGAGGGGCTGGCACCTGGATCTGACGAAAGCTGAGAAGTATGGAAATTGTAGAATAGACTGTAGACAAGTACAACAAGATGCAGAGACACTCTGAACAAATGGGGCTATCTGGTGATCTCTGCCCTTTGTGATTGTGGTGACATGCAGACAACAACATATGCCCTTTGTGTGTACACAAAATCAGTGTACACTTGAGGACGTCATGGCAGCATGACAGAATGCAATTAACGTTGTTAGTTTCTGAGCAAGATTTGTTTAAATTGTGCATATTTCAATATTGTATTTTATATTTCAAATGTTAATGTTATATTGTGATGCTTCTGACACAATATACAAACAGACATGCACAAAAGTGGAAAGAATTTAATTCCCACAATGGATGATCTGCTGGGAAAACTGATAGAATTAACTGATAGCGAAGATGGCTCAATTGACTGCCATAATCAAAGAAAAAGAATACAGCTAACTTTATTTTCACTTAGAAACCACTTCTGAACTTTGTGCTTGAGGTAGAAAAAAAAGACAAATAAATGTTGATTTTGGATTTTGCTGATTAGAAAGGTTTGTTATAGAAATGGCTGGTATATCTAAGATTGTAAAAGTAAAAGGTTGAGGCTGTAATGTTATTATCTTATTCCACTGTGCTAAAAAGAATAAGAAGTCAATGCTTTTCTTTCTTTTACCACTTTTTCCCTATTTGTTGGGGGCAACACACTGACTTGTAAACCGTTCAAAGAGTGCTGTAAAGCACTATGAAGAGATATAAAAGTCTAAGCGCTTTTGCCATTGCTATTTTCCCACATTTTTCATTTTCCTTTGCACCATGGTACCTCAGTACTCGACTGCTGGAGGACTACCTGAAATGACAATGATCAAGATACCACAATATTTTATATTTCGATAAACTAATTTAAAAATGGAAAAAAGAGTGAACCGAAGACTGTGGCCTGTAAGTACTACCCTTCTGATTATTACAGCTCAGGGTCTCCTTTTCCCGCCATTGTGTGATGGGATCTTCATCTCCTAAACTCAATGGAGGCCATCCTGCACTGCTGGTCATGTTCCTGTGGAGAAGCAACAATGCAAGTACTCCAAGTATGTCCAGTCACTTAACATCCATTCCAGGTTACAACTGGCCTGAAAAAGGAGGCTTGCAACCCAAATGTGAAGTTCCCGTGGACAGGCACCCTCTGCAATCACAGAATTTCAGATGCTCAGCAACAGGGCCACAGGTGCAGCTGTTTACAGTATCCCAGAATCACATGACATTTTACCGAAAATTTGCACTTCCAATTTCCAGCAAAACTGCACCCATAGCAAACCACTGGTTCACTTAATGACTGCAGCATTTGCTTTAAGCAGTCACTCAACGACCTTCACAAAAAATGCTGCAAAATTGGGTAAGTATGACTGACCCCTTTCACAACCATCACAGCATGCAACCATAATGGGAAAGGCTCCTTTACTGTCGTATATCAAGAGCTACTTGTATGTTGAACTAATATGGTTATTCAGGAGCTCGTTCGTGGAACTGGCTCCAAGGGAAAATATGTCTCAGATTCAACTTTGAATTGAACTGGCAATTGGCAACTTTGGCAAGGAATTGAATAGGATGGGCACAACTTAATGTTGCCTGGAGGGTTCCTAAGAAGTGGGCTTCCAGCCTATCATTCAGACTTCCCAAAGTAGCAATACTGCTTAGAAGAGATGATATGCTAGAGATAATCCCAATCACAGAATTTCCTTGCAATCTGCCACTAAGGTGGAAAAAACTGTGTGAGGGGTCTTGGAGTCCTAGTGGACAATCACTTAAATATGAGTCAACAGTGTGTGACAGCAGCCAAAAAAGTCAATGCAATCCTAGGCTGATTTAATAGACGGATGGAATTGAGATCACATGAAGTTTACCAATTTACAAAGCCTTAGTAAGACCACTCTTGCAATACTGCATCCAGTTCTGGTCACCACAACATAAAAAAGATGTTGAGAATCTGGAAAGAATGTAGAGAACAGCAACAAGAATGATTAGGGGGCTGGAGGCTTAAACAAGAAGAACAGTTACAAGTACAGTAGAACCTCTGGTCACAAATGCTTCTAACCACAACCAAATCAGGTTCCGACCCAAAAATTCACAAAAAAAAAATTTCGCGTGCGATTTCCCCTTCCATGCCATTTTTTTTGTAAGTGCCAAATTTACAAAATTAGGTTCAAGTCATGACCAAATCGGGTTGCAACCAAAGTTATGGAACGAATTATGGTCGTGACCAGAGGTCCTACTGTATTGGGTATGTCTAGTCTAATGAAAAGAAGGGTTAGGTGAGACATTATAGCAGCATTCCATTATTTGAGGAGCTCCCTATAAAGACAAGAGGGGGGGGTCAAACTATTTTCCAAAGCACCAAAAGGCAAGATGAGAAATAATGGATGGAAACTAACCAAGGAGAAAAGCAACCTACAACTAAGGAGAAATTTCCTAATGGTGGGAACACTTAACCAGTGTAATGGTTTGCCTTCAGAAGTTGTGGGTGCTCCATCACTGGAGGTTTTCAAAATGAGACTGGACAACCATTTGTCTGAAATGGTATAGGGTCTCCTGCTCAAGTAGGGGGTTAGACTAGAAGATCTCCAAGATCCCTTCCAACTCTATTATTCTGTTCTAGAATGAAAAACAAGGGGAGAAATCTCCTTTGACCATAGAGGTTGAAAACATGACTTTCTTCTCCCAAAAGCCCAGTGCATCACTCAGAAGAAATATTTCGGTTTTATTTATCTATCTGTCATACAGCCAGTTTACTAGATATTACAGCAGCATTGGGAACGTGTTAAATTTTCACCCATGAAAGAATGTGCATAAAACACACAAACTAGGCAAACTAATTTCTCTCTGCCAAAAATCCTAGATTCAACTGAAGACTTTTGAATTTTTTGTGTGGCAAGCCAGGTCCCCATTCTTCTCTTTGCAGATATATTTTCTACTACAGAGAATTGAATAATACAATCAACTGTTTGGCTGACTAATGGAAAGCAGCACTACACAAAATTGCTTTGTATCCAGCTCTCTTATATAATCGTACAGACGTAGGCCAGACATGGCCTCAAGCTATTAACAAGGCTGACTGAAGCGTGCTGGTGGGGTGAATTCAATCCCTGAGATAAATCATGGCTTAACAAAAATAACCCAAATGTGGGGTTCATTAACCATGGCTAAAGCAATCATAATGGAGCACCTTGTGTGAACTTTTCCCCTGTGTGAACTAACCATGGAAAAACATGTTTCTTTTGTCATATTCCCATAACATTGACTTAATCTCATCTCCAGACAATCAATGAGACAGATTTCGCTCCCCTTGATCATTCCAGTATTAAATACATTTTTTGCCTCATATTTGATGCTGTCCAAAGATAATTTCAAAGTGAAGAAATCTTGTTAGGTTTGGTAGCTGTGGGAATTCAGTGACTGCAAGAACCAAGGAAGGACAATGACCAACAATTAAAGTTCATGCTACTATGGCTTCCTTCTAACTCAATGTTTCCCAACCTTGGCAACTTTAAGATGGTGGATGGGAAATTCTGGGAGTTGAAGTCCACACAGCTCCCAGTTGGGCAACTCAGTTGTAACTTAAGGATGAGTGAAGACCCCTTGGCCAAGAGGTGCAACAAGAATGATGAGTTGTAAAAATAAATACAATACATTGTGGACCAGGACTTCATTGATGAACCAGGACCAAGTTCAAATATCAATGTCTATCAGCCATGTCATGGTTGTCCCAAAGGTGATTTTCCAAAAGGCAACTGGACTGTCTTGGTTTTTTCCTTGAAAATATTCTGAAAAAGCTTCTTGGATGAGAAGTGAAACTTTTTCAAGGAAAAACAAAGGAAGTCCAGTTGCCTTTGAAAAAGCACCTTTGAGACAATCATGACTTGGATGATTGAAAATCTCCATAGACAGTTGTTAAGCAAAGTCATTAAGTCGACTTCTATGGAGCCTCTCAGTCCTCCAGGTCACAGTGGTCCCAAATGTTCTTTTCCAGAAGGCAACGACTTTTTTGGTTTTTTCCTTGAAAACTTTTTGCTTCTCATCCAAGAAGCCTCTTCAGTTCTGAGGAACTTCTAGATGAAAAGCAAGAAGTCCAGTTGCCTTCTGGAAAAGAGCCTTTGGTTCAAATATCAACAGTAGAAATAAATAAAGAGATAAAGAAGAGACTGTTCTTGAAGGACCTCTTGGTATTAAAACTCTTCTCTCACTTAGGTCAGCAGGGGTTAAATTACTTTAGACTGAAAACTAGGGGCAGAGTCTTAATACACCAAAAAGAGGGGGGGGGGGAATATATGCTTCTCTAATTCCTAAAAAATCCAGATTTAACAGTCAACCTGCAGAGGGCACTTCAAGACCACGGTGAAAGAAAGAAGTTCTGCAACCGGTAGACCACTTGTTGCTATTATGGGATGCAGGAAAAAGCAAAGTCAGAAAATAACCGCATTGCTGAACATAAACAACGGTGAATAGGTTTTTATTCTTTTAAAGTCCGTATTAACAATGGGAGGACTACGATACCGTCTGCTAGTATAGACAAGAATTTTAGCACTTGACTTATTGTGGCTGGCAGCCGTGCTTCAGGATGGTTTATTGAGTTAGTTTTTCCAACTTTTCATGGAAATACACTGATTTTTACCAGTGTCAGGAAAAAGCACACTATAAAGTCAAATTAACTACAGGTAGTCCTTGATTTACAATAGTTCAATTAGTGATCATTCAAAGTTACAATAACACTGAAAAAAGAGACTTCTGGCCATTTTTCACACTGACAACCATTGCAGCTTACATGATTAACATTCCAAGGCTTGGCAACTGACTTGTACTTAGGAGGCCTGCAGTGTCCTGCGCTCATTAGATTCTCTTTTGCGACCTGCTGACAAGCAACGTCAATAGGGAGCCAGATTCACAATTGCAGTGATTCGCTTAACAACTGTGGCAAGGAAGGTTGTAAAATGGGGCAAAATGTCCTTAACAACTGTCTCACTTAGCAACAGAAATGTTGGGCTCAATTGTGGTCATACATTGAGGACCACCTGTATTAGACAACCTGTGGAGTGAAGAAAGAAACCTGCCATAAGTACTAGAACCAGGACTTTAAGAAAACCATTAAAAAAAAACCTAAATCGGTGAGTTTGAAGAAACACCCCCGTGAGAATCCCTCTTCATGTATCTCTGCTTCATAGCAAACTCCCTCTAGCAATTGTTTCTCAATCTCAGCAACTTCATTTGGTTGGCTGGGGAATTCTGGGAGTTGAGGTCCAGGCATCTTAAAGTTCCCAAGGTTGCCAAACACTGCACTACAGGTAGTCCTTGACTTATGACCACAATTGGGTCCAGAATTTCCATCGCGAAGCAAAGTGGTTGTTAAGTGAGATGTGCCTGATCCTATGACCTTTTTTGCAATGGCAGTGAATCACTCAATGAAGTGAATCACTCAATGAAGTGAATCATTTGTCGTTATGCAAATCTGGCTTCCTCACATTGCCTTTGCTTGTCAGAAGGTGGTTGGGAAGGTTGCCAAGGGGGGTTACAGGACACCGTAACCATTGTAAATACTTTGCCAGCTGCCGAACGCCTGAATCATGGTCACGTGACCATGGGGATGCTGATGCAGTGATCATCAGGACCTTACCTTTCCATTGTTTAACTCATTGAAGGAGACAATTGTACATAAGCTCATCTGGATAGGGTAATAAACATTCCCGCACTGAAAATGTTCGGATTCTCGGGATTTCCACGGCTGTTGTAGCAGAAAAGTGTTGCCATTTGCTCTGATAGAAGAACGTTCTTGATCTAGGACCTGCTGACTGTGGCATGAGCAGGCTAATGGTGTGCAGGGCTTGCCAACGTCCTCCAAAATTCTTCCTAAACTCCTAGTTTCTGCAGAGTAACCTGCTGAAAGACCAACATTTGGCAGAGTCCTTCCACACCCCAAGTTATCTCCTTGTACCCTGGCATGGTGATGGTCTTCTCCTAGAACCCTCTTGGACATCTGGTTATCTATGAATCCCTCCTCCAAATCTGGAGTATCTGCTACACTTGTGAGGGCATTAAAATCCTCGGCAGAAGTACACACCGCTTTGATATCCATTTCACTTTCACACCATTCCTCACAATTCAAAGAAGAATCCTTTTCCAGGCCTGCAATGTCCATCTCGACCTTCATCAGATCTTGAGACTTTAACTCTTCCGTATCCAGGCTCTGGGAATCTGCTGAAACTGCAACAGAGGATCGGGTATTCTCCTGGTACCAAGGAGGCAAAATCCAGGGGTCTCCTGGAACAGAACCTGGGCCCTCATCACTTAATTTGTTAGGAGGAATCTTCTGCTTCTGTAGCAGTTCCGTATCTAAGCCATGTCCATTGAGCACCGGACAATCGCTTGGACATTCTGAGTGGGGGAAAGATGGCATACTTTTCCTAAGAGGTGAACAAGGTCTTTCATTGCTGTGGTCCTTCAAGATTTCATGAGACATCTCAGCATTGGTATCTCCTTGAACTGGAACTTGACCAGCTGAGATTTTGGAATTAGGGTGATCCCACATCTCAGAATCAGGTGACAGTCTAGTTAATGAGAAACTGTTAGCATTATCATTCGCAATGACCAAAGGCTGCCTTCGATGAGATCGCTCCAGCCTTTGCCGTGCACAGTTGGAGATTTGCTGTGGTTCATCCTGAGAAAATGTCTTGGAAGATCCCCGCCATTTCCTAGCTGCTCCAGCCACGCTATTAAAAAACTTAAGGACTCCACCAAAATGATTTCCCTTCCCTCCATGGCCAGGCTTTTTAGTCTGGCCAATGTTGTCTTTGCATCCTGCAGCGAAAGCAAGATAAGAAGGAGGGCTCTCCATTGCTTTTTTCAAACTCTGAAGACCAGGTTCTGCAGTGGGGTTCTCCAACTTGGAACAGTCCTTGCCTGTCAATGAAACTCCCTTTAGATATCCCCAGACCTCAGAACTTCTTCCTTTCTTATTCTCAGGAGCTACTGGGGCATCTCTTGTTTGAGAATGTCCTTCAGCATCCCTAGACTCTGGAGTTTTTTCAAACTCAGGGGCCCCATTTTTCTGAGCCAACATGTTGTAACAATAATTATCAGCATCGCTACTACTGACTCCCAGCTCTAGCCCCCTGTGCCATTTGCTTTCGCTGGATTCAATATCCAGCACACAGCTATTTAATTCAATATCCTCAAATGAAGAATCCAAGTCCTCAATGAAGCCAGCATAGGAGTGACGGTAAGGCCGCTGGTCGTCACTGAGCTTTCTAATCCTATGGAGAGCTTTTTGTTCAAGATCTTCTTGAGTTTCCACAGAGATAATGATAGCCTTTGCTTTGGATGTATTTCTGGATAGACCAGAAGACCGTAGCTTCTTATAGGATCTCACTCTTTCCATGAAAGACATTTTACGATTCTGCTCCATGATCTCCACATGATCTCCAAGGAATATCATGGATTGGGGCCGTTTGGGATTCATGGAGGATCCTTTCTTGCGGCCAACAAAATTCCAAATCCAACTGCCTCTGGCCTTCTTCTTATTCTTGCCCACATCCTCTTTGCCAGGGTCACTGATGGCACCTGGATTAGGATACATCTGTTTTGTGGATCTTTCCTTTGAATTCTTGGTTCCATATCCATTTGGAACTGGGGTAGAGCAACCATGTTGGCAATGGTCAATAAGTTCCATACTTCTAATGGTAACACCTAGGTCCAAATGTCAGGCCTCCATTGTCACGAAATGTGTCTCTTTTGCAGAACCTGAAGAGGAAACAGAAAATAACCCAGTTAAGCTTTCTGCCTCGAAACATAATATATATAAAAGGAAAGTCCAATGTCCAAAAACAGTCTAACAGTTGAATCCTTACTTCACCAATATCCAAGGTCCATTTGGTTTATTAGATTCATGAGATCCTTAGCAAATACACTGCCATGACCTCCTTCCCAAATTAATATTTCACAAATACTTGCTTAAGGAATCAGGAAGTACTTCCATCCATCTAAACAAGCAGAATTTGATGGAAAGAAAAAGGAAGCAGCATTGACCAGCGATGCATCTTATATCAGACAGATACAGATAATCAGAGTTGGAAGGGACCTTGTAGGTCATCTAGTCCAACCCACTGCCTAAGCAGGAGACCCTACACCATTTCTGACAAATGGCAGTCCAATCTCTTCTTGAAAGTCTCAAGTGATGATGCTCCCACCACTTCCGAGAGCAACTTCTGTTCCATTGGTTGATTGTTCTCACTAAGCCATGGTTTTTGCTATCACTATATTACACTAAGGGGTATATTTTTCCTTAGCAAATAGCAGCTGCTGAACCTAAAACTCAGCGTTCTCACTTCCGGCACAAATGATCTGGCTCAAATTATCATAATTTTTATATATTACTGTATGCAAAGACTAAGCTCTCTGGAGAAGGTTCTAATGCTAGGAAAGTTGGAACGAAAAAAGGACGACCAACAGCAAAGTGGAAGGAGTCACTACAGCAGCACTAGAAGCACCATTGGAAGATCTGAAGAACCAGATTAGGACAGGTTGTTATGGAGAAAGTCCATCTATATGGTGACTAAGAATTGGAACTGATTTGATGGTACCTATAATCAATCAATCATACAGAGGAACAAGAAATATCTTCTGTTATTTCCATGCTCTGAAATAGTTGGCTGACTAACAGCTCTATTTTCTTCACTTTCTCTGAAAAGAAGGACTAGTTGCTAGCATTATTCCAATATTATGAGGGACTCCTACAAAGACAAGGGGCTATCTTGGCTATTTCCCAAAGCATCAGAAAGCGAGACAATAAACAATGAATGGAAACTAGCCCAGGAGGGAAGCAACCTAGAAGAACTAAGGAGAAATGGCCTAACAGTGAGAGCAATCAATCCGTGGAATAGCTTGCCCTCAGAAATTGTGGTACTCCATCACTGGAGGCTTTCATAATGACACGAGACAATCATTTATCTGAAATGGTATAGGGTCTTCTGCTAAAGCAGTGGCTTGGACTAGAAGACCTCCAAAGTCCCTTTCAACATTATTATTCTATGTTCTATATGTTCTCTCCACTGTCTTGTTTCTCCAACCTCCAGCTCCTCTCAATATGTTCCACACTAGCTGGTCTGGTTGGTCTTGGAAATTTTATTCCCTAATCTGTCAAAAGTCACTGTGTTCCTACATATTATTTTAAATCAGGACATCTACTGGGCAAAAGCTGAAAATCGTGGACTTTTATCTCAAGGTTAATCATTAATCCAAATCAAGTTAATAGAATAAAACAGAATAAACATAAAAATGACATAGAGATGCATGATGAATAAAAAATCATAATAATAAGGAATGCAACATTTGTCTTCACACAGCAACACAGGATTCAGCCACTAATAATACTAGGGTTCAAATTGGAAAGTAGAATCTTTGTATAATTGGAAGTCTGTTTGTCTTGTTGTAGGAGACATAAATTTCTGGAATTGTAAGCCCCCAGGGTCATTGATTGAGATGAGTGGCTATAGAAATTGGATGGATAGATGGAGGGAGGGAGGGAGGGATTTTGCATATCTGTACAGATGTTGCAATAAATCAGTATATAGGTAATGGTTTGTGGTTAATGGAAGTGGTACCACACTAGTGAGGCCACACTTGGAATATTGTGTATACCTCAAAAACAATGCTGAGACTCTTTCTAAAGAGTGCAGAGAAGAACAATGAAGATGATAAGGGGGTTTCCTGGTGATTGCCCCAAAGTCACCCAGACAGCTTTTGTGCCTAAGGTGGGACTAAACTCACAGTCACTTGGTTTTTAGGCTAGTAACTTAATGACTCAACTGGCTCTTTTGAACAAATTGCAGGGGGGGGGCAGGAAATATGAGCCACCAGCCACTGCAAAGATGCCTGAAGCATCAACCCATAGGAAGAATTGAGAAGCCAACCCTTGTCTGCTGCAGCTTCCCATATCATCTGCCATAGATCTGAGGATCTTGCCCATAGTTAGCTCCAGAATTAGCTGACTGCACGGCATGACCCACTCATTGTCTTACAGGACAGGGAACATTAAATGGGATTGTCATTCCTGAAACAACTGCTCCCATCTGTCCCTTCTGTTGTGGAGCAGGAAAAGGACAGGCTGGCCATCTGGACCTTTGTTTTGCCGAGGGAGTAAAAGCTCAAGACCGAAGCAGGGAGAAGCATGTTTTCCCAAAGGCCTTCAAGTCAGTCAAGGAAATTGTGCCTGAGTTTCAATGCCTTCATATCCGTTCCCCTTCAGGAAGGCGAGAGGGAGGGGAGGAAGGAGGAACAAACAACTGGCAACCTTTGAGAGAAACCCAGACATTCTTTAAATGGGGAGCCTCAAACTTCCCCTTGAGAGAAAAGAAAAGAAAGCATCCCCCCCACCCGCAAGCTGCATTTCCACTGCTGTACATTGTCACCAAAAAGTAGAAAAATAAAAAAGGAGGAAGCAGATGTTTGAGCCATACGGCTTCAGGAAGATCTTTTTCACAGTAGAGCTTTATCAGCTCAAGGGGGCCAGATAAATAATGAAGCTTCACTAGTTGCTACTCCAAAGATAAGAGCGGTCCAATGTGGTTTGTAGTGGGAAGCAGCCAATTAACAGTGGGGAGACCCAAATTCTAGTCCTTTTTCAACTACAGAAGTTCTTCTGAAGCCACTTTCTCTCTTAACAAAGAATCAGTGTGATATAATGGAGAAAGTGGCTAAGGCACCAGGCTAGAAACCAAGAGATGGTGAATCTGAGGCATGAAAGCCAGCTGGGTAACCTTGAGCCAATCACCAGAAGACAATGAGTTCTAGTCCCACCTTACTTACAAAAGCCTGCTGGGTGACTTTGGGCCAGTCACCAGGAGATTGTGAGTTCTACTTCCTTAGGGATGAAAGGTGGCTGGACGATTTTGGGGGCAATGACCAAAAGATACTCAGAGCCTCTTAGGATTCTCCAAAATTAGTGCCAGAATCACCTAAAACTCATGATTTACACAATCTCATGACGGGCAAAATCAACTACCACCAGACATCTCAGCTATTGAGGTAGCTTGAAATAATTATTGCAGGCAACAACAGAGGCTGGGACATGGCCATTCTACACAACGCATCCAACTCAAGACCTCTTCACAAGCCCACCAAATGGTAGAATGACAGCCAGACCTCTCACCTGAAGAAGTGAAGGCAACTCAACTCAATTAGTAATGATTCTAATGCAACCTTCCTCGTTCATGGGCATCTTCCACTTGTAAATATTTCAACAATCAGAGTTCTCCCGTCAGTGCAGGCATCACTGATGATTTTGGAAGCTGAGACCATCACTTCTCAAAAGCCCTAAGGTGGAAGAAATGACAAAAAGCTTAAGGTTCTTCAGAACATATTAGCAGGATGAAGAAGAAGTTAGCAAGATACTATCGCTTCATTACATGATGACGCAACAGAAAGAAAAGAACTAGAAACTCATGACTTGGATGGAGGTTATTTATATTCTTTATTAGACATGGCAACCTGTAGGCATAATCACAATAAATATCATGATTAGCTCAGAACAAAAGAGCTCTGACTGGAATTTGGGGACAGGTTAAATATACAGCAGGCTTAACATCTGCTAAAGAGATTCTCTAGGATCTCAGCAGGCTCAATTAGATGTTCCAACACCAAATCCGGGAAGGAAATAAACCACTGCATTAGGAAAAGGCTTGGGAACTGATGCCAAATGTGTTGAAAAAAATATTCAGGAGGGCACATTACTTCATCAGCAAATTAAGACAAAGTGGGCAAGGAGATCAAGCAGCTGGATACAAGCACAACTTAGCTCAAAGGTGGTCAGGCACTGAAATCTTAATAATATCTTGGTGGGACCTGAAGTGGCTATTTTAATAGTCATGAATCACCAGGTAGTGATTTTTGAGATCAGGAAGGAAGTTCCCACAAAGCAGGAGATTGGGGTTGGTGGCCTTTGGCTTGCAGAAGAGAAGATTGATAATACATATCTTTAAAGTTAAGAGATGCTAATATTGCAGCAGTGTCTTTGAACACAGAACAGCTGTGGTGGTGCAGTGGTTAGAATGCAGAATTATAGGCAAACTCAGCTCACTGCCAGGAATTCAATCCTGACCGGCTCAAGGTTGACTCGGCCTTCCATTCCTTCTGAAGTCGATAAAATGAGGACCCAGATTGTTGAGGGAAATATGCTGACTCTGTAAACTTGTTTAGAAAGGGATGTAAAGCACTATATGAAGTGGTATATAAGTCTAAGTGCTCTTGTAAGACAAAATCTATGATTTACCTTCTGCACTTGCTAGATTAAAACAGCAAACAAAGGACATGACTTGGTGTGATTTGGCAACCTCATCTCAATTGGGGAACGTTAATGGTGGCGCAGTGGTCAGAATGCAGTATTACAAGCTAATTTTGCCCACAGCCAGGAGTTCGATCCTGACTGGCTCAAGGTTGACTCAGCCTTCCATCCTTCCGAGGATGGTAAAATCAGATTATTGGGGGCAAGATGCGGACTCTGTAAACCGCTTAGAAAGCACTGTGAAGTGGCATATAAGACTAAGTGCTATTCACACTTTCCAAAGCTTTGGAAGGTGTCTTCTCTTTTTAAAACAAGGGTGATACAACATACTTGAACAACCTAATCCAAGACAAAAGGTGAATGACTGAATCCCTTCATGTGTAAGTTTTGATATGATTCATGCCTGGTTTTTCTTTGTTGCATTTACACCCTGCCTTTTTATTATTATTATTATTATTATTAT